TGCTTTGCTTCTGCTGCTCATGCTAGTAGATCCTTCCATAGTAACTCTCATTGTCTTGCCACGTTAAAGAACAAGGCTGCAGTGTTGGTTTAGCTCATAAACTACAATACCTTCAGACAGATGTGTCTGTGTTTGTCTTTGCCTTGGGGCCAAACAGTTCCATTGGGAAGGGAGTTTTTGGGTGATTAGCATAGTAGTAGAGGTAATAGAATAGTGAAGTAATGAAGTTTTGATAGGACAAGGAAGGACAGCAGAAATGTAAGGGTTGTGATCTCTGAATGCCACCTGGGCTTTGCTGGAGGTATTCATGTTCTACAACTGTACTCCTAGTGTGATGAGCTTGCCACAGGAGATTTGCAACAGGAAGTTTCCTCATGAGTGGAGATGGAGAAAAAAAAAGAAGTGGTAGTATGCAATGCAGTGTAAAGAGGAGCCCAGTCTCTCCATTCTTGAAAGGCTTCTCATCAGTATAGCTTTCAAACTCATCTGCACAGGAGGTCGTACCCTTGTAATTATACCAATATGGTTAAGCTGCTGTATTTTACTGCTATCACTCTTTGTGTGAATACTGACTCTTGTTCTAGAATAAGAGTACCTGTTTTTAGTGTGGCTTAGCGTATACTTCTTTGGAAGCAGTTTAACTCCAAAAAGCATTATTATAGTGAAATAAGTAAGGGAGTTATATTGATATATAATACTCTAAAGCAGTGGTCACCAACTGGTTAATCTCAGTTGACTGGTTGATCATGGAGCCTCTGACAGTTAATCTCAGTCGTGGGGGGGGGGAGACGACTTGTTCAGCCATGCGGTGGGGGCTCCTGCCGCTGCTTGCACCCTGGCAGAGGCCCAGGGGGCATGTGCCCTGTCTGCCATGCTCACCCTGAGCCCGCTGTAGGCAGCAGGCGGCAGCAGGATCCTGGTGCACTTCCCTGCGGGGCTGTGGCTGCACCGCTGGGATCCACACTGCTGCTCTGCAGTTGTCCCCCCCCCCAGGTGAGAGGTGTGGACTGGCTGGGATCCAACCCTGCTCCAGGGCTGCCCGGACTGCACTTGCTCTGTACCCGGGCTGGAGGAGCAGGACTCTGGGGTGCTCCACTCTGCCCCACATGGGCTGTGTTCAGGAAGGCAATGCTCACCCCCTGCCCCCCTCACCTGCCGGGCTCCGTGTCCCAGCCTCCCCCATCCCACTCTCATCTCTGGGCTCCAGTTGGGACTCGCTTCCCCTTGGCAGAACAGCAAGGGCCGTGTCCCAGGGCCGAGAAGGGTCCCAGAGATGCCAAGAAATGAGGGGAGAACCTGCCCCTGCTTGCCCCAGGCTGCTGGTCATTTCCTGCACCAGACCCACCGCAGCTCTGGGCCAGGGAGGACGCAGCTCTGCCTGGCCGGGATTGGAACAGGGCTGGGGGGGAGAAAGCCGGGAGGGCAGGAACTCGCAGCCCAGAGCCCCTGGGGCTCAGAGACTACTGGGACTGGGGCAGGAGTGAGCCCAGGCAGTGCCAAGGAACAGGAGAGGTCCACATGGCTGATCCCAGCAGGGTGCTTTTGGCAGTCTGGCGGGAGATGGGGTGGCAGGGTGGGGCAGGAGGAGGTAGATCCCAGATTGCTCTTTATTTCAAAATGTGATCTTCACCTTAAAAAGGTTGGGGACCACAGGTCTAAAGTTATAAGGGCTCTTATACCAGGATTGCTTTCTGCATAGACAAAGCCTCAAAGCCCTGGATTCTTCAGGCACTACTGCATAGTCCCAGGACTGAATTCTCCATGCTAAAAACACAGCCACTCACACATTTTTCCCAGTCCTGGCTGCCTCCACAAATTCACCAATCAAGCCCCTCCCTATCCAAGAACTAACTTTTATTTTGCTCCTCAGGAAAAGCACAGGTTATGTTAGGTTGTCCATAGTAAGGGGAATAATTCTATATCGATAGAATTTTGAAAGTTCAACAGTGGCCTCTACTGAAATACAGTCTGAAATTTTGGAGGTGAATGGATGTTTTGTGCTGAATTTGGAGATTAAATTTAATTATTAAAGTGAGAAGCAGGAATTTTAGTTCTGTCTTAAATAGAAGTCAGCCATTTCCAACTACAAGCACCTTCATAATATTTAGAACATGTTCATAGTAAGAAGCTGGCTTAGAAAGGGGCATACAAAAGAGCGAGTCCATCAAAATAAGCGTGTGATGTGAGTGGGAATTGAGATGCTGAATATTTAAATTAAGATACTGGATGATGATAATACCCCTGTTACAGCTGTGTAGGTGGCACTTAGTGAAAGTACATATTAAAAAGATAATAAGTACAGAATTGTGTTGTGGGCTTCATGCAAACTGTGGATTGTATGCCTTCAGATGCAGTGGTGATAGGGACCATATAACTACACAGACTCAAAAGAATAATTAGTGTATCTACAATAATGAGAGAATTTTCTTGACCAGTATGAAATATCCTCATTTCTTTTCTTGAAATCATTGTCACATAGTATTTGGGAGCTCATATCAAAGAGATAAGCCAAAGGTATTATTAACATAGTCAGTTAATAATATTATTAAAGTAGAGTAGAACATAGGACCTGGACTGTTCCACAACGGTCTGCTGTTTTTTTTATGTATCAGTATATCCGAAAACTAATGTGCTAATTCCAACTTTCTTTAATTTTGATTCTTAGCAAGTGACTGGTTTGCTGCCTTCAGAAGAAATGTTCTGTATAAATATTTCTCTGAATTTCAGTAGTTAAACAGACTGTGGCACACTTGCTTGAGGAAAGCCATAATTAGCAGAAATTATAACCAGTGTTGCAGAAATAATAGTTCTTGTTCAGGTTGAGGCACGTCTTGGTCTCTTGTTTCATTTATTTCACGTATGGTTTATGGTCTCATTTTAGTTTTCACATACATAGGAACAGTGAAAAGAATCTAGCCTTCATTTCGTATAACTTTTCTTCAGTTCTACGGTACTTAAAATAATATTGTATGCCTTTCTACTACAGGACCAGAATATGTTGGCTTCTGCTTCCTTACTGCTGTAGAGGGCCTGAATTGAGTAACATCCCACCGTAAAAAGAGCAAAGGAACTGCACAGTCCAGGTTTAGTTTGTGCAGAAGAGGTGTTATGGTGTTTTTTGGTAATGTCAGTAGTAAATCAAGTGGAGGAGGATTTGCCCAGGGTAAAAGGGTGTTCTCTCCGCTACAAGTTACGCCTCCTTTGCTGGCACATATTAATCTCCATGACTTAGTGGGTTTTCTTTCAATTCTGCATTATTTATTTTGGAGTTGGTAATATCTTCTCCACTGACATTTTTCTACCAATAAGAGCCAACTCCAGCTATAACTTAGTGACCATTAGCCCTGACAAGTCCCTTTGGCCTTCACAGGTGTGAAGCTATTACAAAAGTGGTATGTCACGGGTTATAGCAAAGAGTACCCTGAGGTTTCTTCCTTTATCCAAGGCTCGGCCAGTTGGTTTACCAGCTGTAGTCAGTAGCGTACTTTAGTTTGTGAGTACTTCATTCTGAATCTCTGTGTTATCAGGTTAGGAAAACTGAATGGTATGAAGAGGCAGATAAAACAAAGAACTGACACAATTCCATCTTTTAAGAACAGAAAAAGTGCTTATTACTCTAATTCAGCTTAAAAACACTTACTATTCTTTTTTCCTTATAAGTAAATGTATAGAAAATTATTATGAAAAGTGCATCATCTTCACCTAACTCTGTTCTCTTTGAAATTGTTGTAAAGACTCCCATTGATTTCTATAGTAACCAAGTTAAGCCAACTTTCAGGTATTTCTAAGTTCTCCCACCCCATAGCTGCCATAGGTAGAAGAATGTTCTGTAAGAGCATAAGAATGCTATTTACCGGGTCAGACCATAGGCCCACTTAGGCCAGGATCCTGCCTCTCACAGTGGCAGAGCGTGGATACTGAGGAAGTGAGTGGACAGGGCACATCCAGAATTGTCCATGGCCTTTTCCTCTCCCATTGTAGCTTCCAGCACTCAGAGGTTTAGTTCTAATTCAGAGGCTGCATCCCTATCTACCATATTCAGTACCTGATGGTGGACCTTTCTTCCAAGAACTGGTCCAGCCCCACTTTGAATTGGGTTAAGCTAGCAGCCTGCACAATATTTTGTGGCAGCGAGTTCCACAAGCTAACTTTGTGCCGTGTGAAAAATAACTTCCTCTTGTTAGTTTAAGCCAATGTTTCTCACCCAGGGTACCTTGAGATCCTTTCTAGGGTGTCATAGGGCATTTGGCACTGTTAAGCATGCAGACATGATTCACAAGATAAACCCAGAGATTTCAAATACGAATGTATAGTGTCAGGAACATTCTAACCTGCTGTGTTCTTTCTGAGCTCTTTGCAACAGAAGAATTATTCTATTTTATCACAGTCAAAAAAATTAATGAAAACTAAGATTTGGCATTTTTGAGGTGTGAGAATCAAGCTCTTGATCATTCTTGTAGCCCTTCTCTGTACTTTTTATAGTTTTTCTATATCCTTTTTGAGGCATGGGAAGCAGGTAGCCCAGCTGGAAGGGTCTGATGCTCGATTCTAAGACAAGGCTTTGTTGTCTCCTCAATGAATGGCGGGGGGGGGGGGGGGGGGGGGCCCTTTTTTTTAATAACTACCAAGAGGAGGCCCATGGGCTCCCCCCCCTTTTCCTT